ATCTCGAATGAGCGAATAAAAGAAAACATTGCAGCGTTGTCGCTTTCTGCAGTGATCACATATAAAATAAAGGAGAAAATGAATCAAGACAAAATAAGTTCCTATTGGAGTTGAAACGGAGTTGGAGCTGGGATCTGCGGAGTTGGAGTTGGAGTTGGAGTTGAACTTAGCCGGAGTTGCCCATCTCTGGTTGAAATAGAAGATAAAGTCAATTTTTTTCTATAAGCATGTCTAGAAATCGCATAATAAGGACATGTTGATTTGACTTTGTGTAGGCTGTTTAATAAGAACAAACTAGACCGTTTTTTCTACCCATTCTATCACTTAACGAGCCAAGTGTTTTCTGATAAACATACATGTTTTAAGCATTTATTTATTATGCTAAAATGTTACAGGATATTTCTTTCTGTTAGTCATAGAGCGATAACAAACTGGATGTATGCTTCTCAGTAGACATGCAACAGTTTTTTTTTGTATTTTTCAAAAAATGGTTTGTATTTTCGCAACAATGAATTGTGAAATTTTCTGAAATCAGCAGTTTTGTAGAGCAAACATTTCTCTACAAGATGGCATATAGTAGATAAAAAACGTTTTTGATAGAATGACCCAGCAGTTAAAAACTTATTACTGCGTAGTATAGAGTATCGATGTGTGCCAAAAAACACATTATTTTTGAGCACTCATATTAGCCTATAAAAGTAAATATTAAGATGACTGTCTTATTTTGTCTTGTATCCATTCCGAATAGTATCTCACATTAACAAATATATCAGGAAAAAACGTTGCAAGTCCGCAATCAACAGTTCCAGACATGACACCGACGATCTGCCAAAATGATTGGCCATTGGAGTGTACAATATTTCGAACTAATGGTCCACCACTATCGCCAAAACACACACCTTTTGGTGGAAAACCGGCACACATTTGTCCAGGACGTGTACCAACAAGCAGTGAACAAAGTGAATTTGTCTGAGGAACATAACGTAATTTCACTTGTTGCAAAGAGAGTGGTCGTGTTCTATTAGCTGAACCACTAAGCGCTCCCCAACCAGTAGCAACAACTTCATCATCTTCTTGCAACGGAGTGTCATTCGGACCAATCATGCATGCGAGACTAATCGTTCTATCATTAACTTCAACTGGATTAACCAATCGAATAAGAGCAATATCATCGTTTAGCGTCACATCATCATAAGATTCGTGAACATAAATGATTCTAGCTTGAAATCCTGCATTAACGTTCAATACCGTGTTTGTAAAATTGTGTAAACCAGGAAACACAAACACATAACGCGGGGATTTACCAAATACACAATGAGCAGCAGTTAAAACATGTTGACTCGATATTAAACTCGCACCACAATACGATAGAGGTGTTCCAGTTCCATTAAATATAGCAAGTAAAAGTTGCCAGGGATAACTATTAGGCACGGCATTTTCACCATTAACAATTCTCGTAAAATTTGGAGAAATTGCTGGACAACCACATTTACATGGTTCAAGTAGAATCGATGGCGTTGTTGAAGTAGCCACAGTTGGCGTTGTTGAAGTAGCCACAGTTGGCATTGCTGAGGTAGCCACAGCTGAATTTTCTGGTTTATTCATCGCTGCTTTTCCCACAGTAAATAATAACGCTATGCTGGCGGTTAGAGCCACTGCCATTATTGCTGATATAACAAGAACAACTAAGGATGCCGTAGACATTGAGACAGGCCTTCTCGAATGTATTTTTTGCACTTGTCAAATAATGGATTTTTTTTTGTAAATGGAAATTGTATAATAATGCCGGTTAAATACAAGTGGCCAATAACACTGTTGGATAATAAAACGGAAGAACTTCTGTATTTATCCTTCAAAATATTAAGAATAATCAGCCGATACTATCGTTATCAGAACTCGTGTAGGCTTTATTGCTTTCTTTGAAAAAAGGAGTAAAAATGAAAGGTTTTTATGTATAAAAGTTAATTTTATGATACAATTTGTGCAAAGCATTTACGATACAATTTTATGATAGAATTTGTGCAAAAAAATTTTCGATACATTTGTTTATTGGTTAAAATATTAGTAGATTGATCTTACATTCTACGGTGATGTCGTTCCTATGATTAGGGATGCCACTTTACTATTCTTTACCAAAAGGTAAGTGATAACACGTATTAGTTACTACTTGGAAATAACTGATAAATCGTATTACCTCATTACTTGTTACTTTTTTCAAGTAATAATCTTTTATTACTTTACTTATTACTAATAAGAAGAAAAGTAATAATAAGTAATAAAAACAACAAGATTTATTACCTTTTTATCGGTAATAAGTAACAAACGCCTATTACTTTTACGGAATAATGTAATAATTAGTAAAAGTAAAGTAGCACCCCTACCTATGATCGCACGCGATTTAGTTAGAGCATTTTGATTTTGTAAATAAAGGATCAGCGATTGTAAGGTATAACCAAAATGTATTTTTCATATTTGTTAATGAAATGCTTTGCAGCTTATTCACATTGTCTAACGATTACGTCACCGGAACACAATATACATTTATCAATCTGCACATGCAATCTGCAAATAATCTTGTATTTACCCTACGATACAATTTTCTACTATCCAAGATGACTGAAACGGACGACGCAATGAATATCACATAGTTTTGTTTTGTCAACGTCTGACTATATCAACACCACGGTATACTCGTAATATTATGGATGCATTGTCTCGGGCTCTGATGCCAAACTTACTTCCAGATGATCACGCGATTTGTTATCAAAATTAACGTCAGCGGTTATTGTTCTCACACACACACTAGGAAAAAAGTGAGTTTTGTTTAGATTTGGGAGAACTAGTATAACAATGTGAATTTGAGTTCTCCATTTGACCCAAATAGAGAACTCATTTCGAGTTCTTCGGATGATGAAGAACTTAAAACTTTTTTGGAGAACTTACTGCAGTTTCCTGGAGAACCCATAAAGGTTTTCCGAATTTTCGAGAACTCAGCTGAATTCTTTAGCCAATTCTCTATATGGGATAAATGGAGAACTCAGTTTTTTACAGTGTATATTTGAATATCAACTATAATTGCTCTTAGTCTAAATATATTTACCGAGCTAATTTGGTACAGAATTCAAAGTACCCACTCTCTATAAGATCCTACTGATAATAGTAATACATAGATATCACCTAAGTAGTACAGTTAAAATTAATTACTTGTTTTGCGTCGCGGCTTAATTGTCTATGAATCAGACATTCAATGCCCTATATAAAATATCAGTTTTTAACCATCTGCTAACGAATCACTCACCTTTTTGTGAAATTTTTCTTCTATTTTCTTCTTCAATAATACAAGTCATCAAAGCTTGTTGCAGGATAGCCTTTAGTTCTGGGACTGATACTAGTAACGTTACCCTATTCCTAAAGAACCAAAAATATAGAAATTTATGAATTCAGTCGTCGTGATGTTACTAGCCAGAAAAAAATCGACTTCAGAAAATGTTCGAATAATAGGTTGTTAATAGCCCATAATAGTGCAATAAAGGACTTAAAACGAACATCATAAAATGTTCGTTTTTTGATCGTAATAAAGCTGCCACTTCAAGGTATTAAAACGTTCTCAATTTCAATGTCCAAAAAACAATCAAAAAATTACCTCAATGGTCTAATATGCATTATCAACAGAAATGCAAAATTTCATCCGCAAACGTGATGTTTTAATATCTAAAATATTAGATAAAATGACAACAACAGAAATTCATTGTTTATCAGCACTGGAATTGAATGCTACAATGTTAAAAATATTTCACAACAAGTCATTCGCGGTGAGAAACGATAAAACACCAAAAGTACTTCAACAGTATAAAGCGAATACATTAGCACGATTGCCGATGATGTTGGCAAAAATACAGTCAGGGTTAAAATTGAAAAATGGCTACGTCTAAAGAAGCTTCACAAATATGTTGAACAGGCAATTATTACGTTAGGTCAAGCAAATGCACACTTTCTGAAGGAGCGAAGATCATTGTTTCTTTTGAAATTAATTCGAAACAAAGCTCAGACCAAAGAAACACCACCTAAATCGTCAATGTTTGACAATGTTTGAGTAGGTTTAAAGAAGTAGCTCCTACTTCTTCTCAAAATAACTTTTCTCAATCACTGAACTTGTTCTTCTTTTAGAAAACATTTGTTTGGCGATCTTTTCTTAGAAAAACTTGCCAGAACAAGGAAAAGGGTTCAACAATTACGCCATACTCTCGCTGCTCATCGTCCATTTCGCGGTAATAACAATTTCAGATCCTTCAGAAATCGCGGTTCTCTTTCATTCGATTTCATTCGACCTGGCCTTACGCGCCAACCCTTCCAACTCAAACAAATAATTGGTATGAATCGCAGAATCTCACAATGAAAGAAGAGAAACAGACTAATGGAAGAACGAAAGAGAGAGGATCAACAAAAATTATTACTTTTTCTTCGTTTTCGACAAAGTCGAAAAAACTATCTCCGTCGCTGCTGTCAAAAAAAGTGAATGTATGCAATCTTTGACTAGTTAATTGTCTGAAAACCACTGACTAGTCCTTTGCAATAACTATAGTTAAAGGATAGCTAGATTTTGAACAGAAACTGACTAGTCAACTATGAACTAGCCAGTTATTCGTTTCGTTTTTGTCTGAAACTAGTCACGGTTCTTCGAGTTATTTTCGTCTGCCTGGGTAAGAAAAGAGCTGAAACCGATCCGTCTGGTTGAAAAGTTCAACCGATCGGTTTTTTACCGACTGAAAACGTTTTTCTAGGCTCTATGTTCGAAAAACAAAAATACCGAAATATTTTTTACACATATTACTGCACTTAAAGGCAGGAAAAGCAAACTATGAAATAAGAACTAATAGACTTGCCACTCGCCACAGATAGTCAAAAATCTTTTAGAAGCGATTTTATTAAGGTCCTTTTGTTACGCGTTATTTAACTTTGTATTTGCTATAATTACTAGTGTATGTTTAAGCCTGGCTCCCTTTAAAAAGAATAAAAAGGATGTGGATGGACAGGTTCGGTTGTTAAAAACAAAACGAACCTAACAATAATAAAAAGAGATGAAATTTTCAGTTCAAGTTTTACCAAGAGAATAGTAATTTAGCGAAATCTTGCCAAATAACTATGCATTGTTATGTAGACATAACTAGACATAGGTAGAATTACCTATCTCACTCATGAAAATACCCTAGTGAAAGTACTCATACGATGAGTACGACTTTACTCATAATTCGTCCATGAGTACTCATATTATTACTACTATCAATTTCTGAGTATTGTTACTCAGTGAGTACTCAGTTACTCATGTGAGTACTCAGGAAATATTCATTCACCATTTTATTTTGCTAAACTGAAACTGTATAAAGAATGTAGAATTTAGTGAAGAAACACAGAATATTTATATTATTATTTTCTCACTGGTCTCTCTTTATATAGTCAGAGATAGACTTGTGGTCCTACTCTGGCTACCTGAGATCACTCCTCTATATGAAAATATCGATGAACAATACTCATGAGTATTTTGCCGAAAGTGGTATGAGTACTCAACAATACCCAAGCATGAGTACTCAAAGTCGTACTCAGAGTACTTGTTACTCACTCATGAGTATGAGTACTCAGGTGAGTACTCAATGAGTAAAAAAATGTATGAGTACGTATGAGTACTCGTCCGGTTTTTCTATCAGAGTACTTTTTGAGTACTCACACTTGAGTACATTCACTAGGGTAAGCTGTTGCAAATAAAATTAGCTAAGAAAACTTGATTTTTGAAAAATTTATTGTTTAATTATCCTGAAAAGTATATTTTTTGGCGAAGAATTGGTCTTGCTAAACAAAAACAGAGTGACATATACATCTTATTAGACTCCACTTTCCATGTATATTCTAAATATCACATTCGTTTGGCGAAAATTTTAGTGCATTTTAACAGGCTCGATTTGGGTTATAAAGGTGGTGATTATTTTTACTGATCAAATTTGATCGGTCTATTCAATGATTGCACCAGTCAAATTTGATCAGTAAAGTCAGTCGGTAAGTAAAAATAGTCACCACCGTTGTAAAAAATGAAACATTTTGAATTTTACGGGATTTAGGACATCATCGTGATCAACTTGAAAAACCGCAACTAATACATATATTTTCAAAAAGTCTGATAAAAAAGATTTCCAGAAATCGTGAGGGCTATCATAGCAGTCAAAAACCTTAAACTGAAAACCAAGTGATGGCATATGGTACGTGGTCTCCTGACATGAAACAACGCAAGAACAGCCAATCAACTGCCAATGCACCTAAAAAAAGAGACCGATTTTCACGGAACTTTTTCTAGTATATATTTATAGCTGATATCAAGGCCTTTTAGAATATATATTCAGAGTTCTCTGACCACAAGCCGTTACTGAAATATCAGTGTTTTTCACAAAACTGTTTGTCATGGCAACAGCATTAAAATTCTTTGAGTTGTTGAAGTACTCTATTAATATGCAGATTTTTGTCTCAGTTTTGGATGACCATATTATTGTTGAGTCAAAAAAAAATGATGATATGCACACTGACACGTTTTAAGTCAATAGAAAAAAAATCGATTTCATGCAGTCCAAAAGGATAGCCTACCCATCCATATCCGTCTTAATTTTGAACGAAAGCAATTGTTAAATATATACTAGTAATTATAGCAAATATAAAGATAAATAACTTATAATGAAAAGAAAACCATGTATTCATGTCGAGCGACATCTCTTTTCGTGTTCTTTGCTGTTTTCATAAAGTAGCCAATCCAAAAATATTTATCAATTATTATTACTACTCAGCTGTTTTTGTGGTGAAGTGCACTGTATGACGCTCGGTTAGATAACTGTGTTTTCGATTCTTGTTTACAGTGCGGTGCTTATAGTATTCAGCACGCACTCCGCTGATCGATGCATTGCTCAGAATGTTAAAATGGGATATATGTGAAGATCAGGTTGTTTGAAATTATGCGCCAAGTCTCCGCCCAAAAAACTGTAGACATAGCGATCCAAACCAAGGAGGAAACAGCGTTTTTGGAATGGGTCATTCCAAAAATCCTTTTTCCCTCTTGGCACAAACACATTGTTTCTCAAAATACACAATGGATAGTATATAAGTCTGTCAAAGATGGTTTGGAATGGCCCATTCCGCTATTTCCCCCTTGGAGCCGAACACTATGCTACCCAGGTCTTCCATCCGAGGCAGTATACGATCGTTTACGCTGAAATACGTCAAAATACGACGGTCGTATACGTGTATGGATGCGATACCATGTAAACGATGAAGTTACGATAGTCGTATACGGCCGTATACGTTTTCTCATTCTTTTTTCCAAAAATTTGACTTATCACAAACGACCGTATGCGACTGTCGTAACTTCATCGTTTACATGGTATCGTATCCATACACGTATACAACCGTCATAAACTGGTGTAAATGGTTGTATTTTCTTTCTTGAACAGAAAATCGCGCTTACCTCAGGTGGGAAGCATTTTTCTGAGATTGGGTCTACCCGTCAAAGCTGCAAAGCCGTAAAATGTAGTTTACAATGAAAAATGACAAAAAAATCCCAGTACAGTACTGAAAAAAGGCCGGCACTACCAGTGCGCATGCTGTGTTGCATCGGTACGCACTAGTTCCACATTTTTCCAGTCATCATCTTATTATCTACGACTGATTCCACTATGTTTTACCCGGACTTTTCTTCGAGAACATAGTGTAATCAAATTTTAATACGTTCGTCGAGCAGACAATGCTTTTGTCATGTTATAATCTCTAACAGAAAAAACCAGTATGAATAGAGAGTCAGGTAGTAAATTCAGATGATGTACACAGCAAATTCAGCTCTCTATTCCCTTATCTAAATAGGTCTCATTTTAGCTAGTTTAATAAAGTGCCTTATATAGCAGACACTGTTTTTCGTCTCGTTTAAAATGAGAAAAAACTTTGGTATCGTCAATCAAACAAGTGGCGAGAACATTTATATCACGTGGATAAGCACGTGGAGCAATCTATCCTTTGATGCTTTGGGTTTAGATTTAGATTTTACTACCACACAGTTGCAATTTTTCTTCATTCATTTTAGGTATCAAAAATGGTTCTTCTTTCTGATGAAATACATCAGATATAGGGGCTTTTTAGGGGCCCAGACTTTAAGTGCAAAAAGTTTTTCAGGGGAGGGCTGGCCCCCCTGATCGGGAACCCTGCTCAGCTATCTTAAGAAACATTCCTTTTAAGAGACCCTCTCATATCAAAAGTTGTTTTTCATTCTTTTTTGTGACATATACGGACTTAGTTAATCTGTGAAGAAGATCTGCCCCAAAAGAAAACTTGTCCTTTTGTCTTCTTTTCATATTTCCTGTCTCAGAAAAGAAGAAGGAATCAAAAGTGATCCATTGATCTCTGTTTGTTAAATACATGTGGGCGAGGGAACCACTATAATTTCCGTTTAGTCCGTTACTTTTTATCACGATCAGACGTAGCTAGTGTCTGAAAATTAACATGAAGAGGATATTAGTTAAAAGGATTTGTCTTTTATCTAAACGTGTAAAGCTTTTGCAGCGTTGATTTTTCTTCAAAAGTGTTCTAGTTACAACTATTCTTTTAGTTAGATTTTCCCCAATGGCTAACTTAGATCTAGTTTGATACTTACTGGTATGATGTGTCTGTCTGCCTTTCAGTTACAAGTACAGCTTTTACTCTTGCCCTCTTTGCAATATGTGTTTTTTTTTGTCATGGTAATTTTCTCTCAAATTTTTTTAGATGACATCATTAGAACTTGATGTCGAACAATTTCTGCTATTAGCTCCATTAAAATCTTTATCAAAAAAGGATGTCGAAGACTTAACAACTTTAGATAGATTAAAAACATGGAAAGAAAAATCTACCATAAATGAAAAAATAAGTGAATTACAAAATCTGTCGCAATTCAAAAATGATATGAACTATAAAAAAGCAATTGTCAATGAAAATATAATCAGTTTCATAAGAGATGCAGATCCAACGAAACTCGAACAACGACCATTTTTGGGTAACAAAAATCTTTTATAGCATACATCCATATAAACTCAATTTTTATTGTCATTCATTCTTCAGTTATTATTGATAAACGTCCGAAAACGTTCATTGTGAATGATTCACAATCGCTTCGTTATAATTTTTATCAAATTGAAAAACATTCAATGTATTGCAAAGGTAAAATCTGGTTAACTACATCGTGTAAATTAAAAGTCGATCAATATGTCAATTTAACGAATGTCCATTTGCAACCTGGTGATGCCTACGTATTTGAACTATACTTTATACATGAAAATTATGACGATAGTTACGAATGGTGGCAAAAAGGTGTTATTTATGAACTATTAGTGTCGTCTTATCAAGATTCAAATAACGATGGCATGGGAGATATAAATGGACTTCGACGACGATTAGATTATATAGAACAATTAGGTAAATAAACAAATAAACGATAAATTGATTGAAAGTTCATCATACTTTTAGAAATTATTCAGTTGATTTGGGAATCCTTACTTGATTCCATAGTCAATTTTGTCAATTCAATTTGGCATTTGAATTGATCATTCTTCCTACACTGACGCAACGTCTGTTGTTATGCAAGGAAAGATGATGATGAGTCATTTTTTATTTTTTAGCCAATTTCCATATTGCTCTGTTTTAATCTGAGATAAGAGATTATTTTCCCCTTGAATATTCATTCTAACGCTTTCTCTTATCCATGAAGTCAAATTTGGAATCATTTAAAGCATCCATGCTTTAAGATACTAATAAGTAATGATTCAAATCAAATCAACTTTATTTCATGTCCTGGATGTTAAGTTGACAAGGGTACGGACAAAAAGTTAAATGAAAAATTTTGACTAGGTCAACACTATGAACGAAAGAGATAAAAAGAAAAAAGATGGCTTAAGAACAACATTGCAATTACAATAAATAAAGATGTTTACCTAAAGCACATCTGAATGATCGAACAGAGAAGGCAGCGATTATCTCTCTAGGTAGAGGATTCCATTGGAGCGTACTTCGAGGTAGAAAAGATGGTTTTGTAGTTTTTCGTTTAAATTTTGATATCTGCCAAAAGACATTTATTTGAGAAAGTTCTTATTCAAATCGTTTATGAAAATCAAGAAAAGTAAAGGACCAAGGACACTCCCTTGGGGCACACCAGATGTAACTTTTGCTGCTTTAGATTTTTTATTATTGATTACTACCTATTTGCTCTCTATCCGATAAATAGGAGTGAAACCATTTAACCCTTTGACACCCAGTGGGAAGCATACTTCCCACCTCGAGAATTTTCAAATCTTCGAGTTTTTGCGAATCTTAGAGAAATATTTTCAATAAATGTTAGAAGCTAGCAGCAAAACTCATAGATGTCTCAACACCAGTTTTTAACTGGTGCATACCTAGTGATCACGTGCTTTCTTTAATTGTAATTTAACCACATGCTTCCTAATGTCACCCAGTTAGTTTATACCAAGTTTCATCAAATTTGGTTCAGTAGAAAAAATTCGGGTGTCAAAGGGTTAAAAAGACTACCGATCACTTGTGCTCTACTTAACTTTTCTAATAATACTCGATGACTAACTCTGTCAAATGCCTTAGCAAAATCAAACGCAAGACTAATGCTACATTTTAAAATCTTTGTTAGTTGAATTGTAGCATGCAATAGCGCATCAGCTATGGATAAATTAGCTCGAAAACTAAACCGCGTTGATATGAAAAAACTAATTTTATATAAATGTTTGAGTAGAGATTTATATACCAATAATTCGTTCAATTTTATTCGATTTTAGGTGTGAAAACTATTTGGTTGGCACCTATCTATGATACACCATGGAAAGATTATGGTTACGATATACGCGATTTTTGTTCAATTGATAAACGATTTGGTACAATGAGCGATTTCGAAGCATTGATAAACGATATTCACTCGCGTCACATGAAAATTATCTTGGATTTTGTTCCAAATCATACAAGTGATGAACATCCATGGTTTCTTAAAGCTAAAGCTGGTGATAAAAAGTACATGGATTATTTTATTTGGCATAAAGGAAATGCAAATGAACAAGTAGACGGTCACAATGGACTACCAAACAATTGGTTGGGATGTAGTGGTAAGAATTGAAGTTTTTTTTTTTTTTTTTTGTGAATTAGTATGACATAATTATTCTTTTTTTCAAGGTCTACCAATGTGGACATGGTGTCCTGAACTTGAAGTATATTATTTACATCAATTTTTAGATTGTCAACCGGATTTAAATTTTCGTAATCCACATGTTTTAGAAGAAATTGAATTAATTTTAAAATTTTGGTTAGATAAAGGTATTGATGGATTTCGTGGAGATGCCATTCGACATCTCGTCGAAGATGAGAAATATAAGGATGAACCGAAAAGTGGACAAGAGAAAAATCCCGTTATGTACATGTATTATAAACATATCTACACAGCTAATCAAGATGAAGATTATGAAATTGTGATTAGATGGAGAAAATTTCTTGATGAATATAGTATAAAAAATGAACGAGATTATATTCTATTTATTACAGAAGTAAGTAGTTTTTGATTTCAATAGTATTAAAGTAAAATTTCATAGATAAATAGATTTATAAATGACAAAAGAAGTTAAAAATATTGGTAAATTTTCAAGAAACAATTTGTTAACAAAAAAAAAAGTGCCATTTTAAATGTCATACTATTTAGCTGTTAAGATAGAAGGCTCACTAATAATTATTTTCGATTCTTTTAGGCCTATGATGCCGACGTCAAAAAAGTTGTTCAATATCATGGTAGTAGTCGTATGGAACGTGGTTCAGATTGTTGTATTAATTTTTTTATATGTCATTATTTGGATCTGAAGGATAAAAAAGACGGTTTGGCTTTAAATAAATATTTATCGGATTGGTATTCCCATATTCCTGATTGGTCTTGGTGTAATTGGGATTTAGGAAGTCATGATAGTCGACGAGTAACATCACGTTTGCCATCAAAAGAATTAATCGATGGATTTCATATGATTCTTTTATTATCACCAGGAACAGCGTTAAGCTACTATGGTGATGAGATTGGTAAGTAAAAACTGTTTTTCGATATAAGTAAGGCGCACATAACTTAGTTTAATGAATTTTTATGAGGATTTTGAAAAGAAACTAGTGTCAAAAAAAAAGTGTCTTGACAAACTACTGTGATTGCTTCAGAATGTGTCCACGGTGCGTGATGAAGGTACGTTAGATGCATTTTCTCATCTTTTATATTGTTAATCGCCTTGATGTCTTGACAAAACACTTCTAAGTTGCTGCTTTTTTTTTTTGAAAAAAATAGCTTAGGTGCTTTCAGTAGACGTCGCTAACACATCGAAAAGACACGAGGCACTAGCTACGACCAAGACACATAGCCACCCATAAACCACGGATAAATCACGTAGTCACATTCAAGGCATCGAGACTCTTGTTAGATACCAAGTCAGTCTGATAGTTAGGCAAGACATCTCTAGGAAAAAGGAATTACGAGAGAAAAGTTTCCTATCGTCTTTAGCCATTACAGTGACCGTCATCCCATAACTAACAAGGACAGTAACTTATGAGTAACCGGTAAGAGTAACTTATTGTCTTTATTTTTTGTATGTGTTCCTTCTATGCCTGAAATATTGTAAAAACTTGCTGTTTAATCTTTTCTCCTACATTCAGTATATTAGTGCTTGCATTGTCTCATTCATAAACATTGGAAGTTATTCTACCTAGTAAAATAATTTTGATTCCAATTATATTCTTAAGAATACTGCCTTATAGGTAAAATACTAAACTTAGAAAGATGCTGGAAAAAGCGACACCACACGTATGCAGATAAAATTGATCGATTTGAACCAGTCCATCCAGAATTCGTACAAATTGGAATAAGATGTCATATTGTAGAGAAAAATGTACTCTACAAGACTAGCATAAGTTCAAAATTTTAAAAATTAATTTTAATTCAAAAATTTAGAGAATACAAAAATCGATGCCATTTTTGAAAATTAAAATTTGAAAATATTGCATATTAAACTCTTCTTCAAAAATTCTGAATCGACACTTTTGTTCAGTTTCTCACGTTCTTTCAAATGGAGTATCAACGAAATTTTTTTATTAAACTTTAAATAGAAAAAAATTCATTTTATTGAAATTTTGCATTCTCTATCAATAAAATTAAAATTTCAAGGTCAAAATATGTTTCGACTTTTTTTGAAATACTATCGAAGTCAGGAGAGAGACTTAAGTCTACCCATGGGGAAATTTTAGTAGGTACCGCGGTGTGCACACGCGTGAATATCGTGAAATGAATTGTGGTCGCACGTGAACATCGTAAAATGGTGTGTGAGCACGCGTGAAAAATATATTCCACTTGTGACAACAGGTGAACTGGTCACGAAAACGTTTCGCGTCATATTTTTTGCACGTGATCACAGGTGAAAGTCGTGAAG